TGATGGTTAATAACTGTCCATCATCCATCAAATGCAGTCTTATTTACATCAAGTTTTGCTCCAGAAGGCCGTCTCCCTTCCTGTCTCCTCTGCTTTCCTTAACACAGCACTGCCTACCTGCTCTTACGATCTTTATCACATCTATCACCTTCAGCTATTAAGCAAGAAGCAACGCAAGCTTTGCAACTGTATTGCTTAGACAGCATGTTTTCTCTTTGCACTGTTATCGCACTCAAAAATAGCAGCTAGCCTAAGGTAAATCAAATTCTTAATTACTCAGCTGCTTTATTTACAAATATTGAAATCTCTTCAGGGAGAGATGTGAGTAGGCAAACTACCATTCCATGTTTTTAAACTTCATAGATTTTTCTGCCTATTTCAGCCATCTCTTATTTATTTCCATGTCTCCTTAACCCTGCAACTCTTTTTGCATTTAGTAAAAGATAATTTGTAATAAAGTAAAATCATGATGCTCATGCAGATATGAAAATAAAAGCTAAAAAATTTTAAAGATTTTTAAAATACATTATTAATAAAGAAATCGATTAAGATATTACCATCAGTTCCAAGGAGAATCCAAAGAATAGACACATGTACACATCAGGAACACCGAGACAAGTGTGCCTGTGGAAGCAACACTAGATTCATCCATGGAGGAGGGAAGGTACTAGAACGTCAACCATGTAGAACGTGCTTGTCTACAGACATAATTATTTGTTCTAAGGAGACAGTGCCTTTATTTCTAGGCAAAGACAAAAAAAAAAGATCTGGCAACCTACATTAAAGGATGATTAAATATGTCTTGTAAGTTAGAGATAGTGAATTGCTTTGAAGAGGTTTAAAGGCTTTTCTCCTCCAGATACATTTGCTTGTTTTCTAAGACTAATAAAAACCTAAGGACTTGCATCTTCTCTCCTCTAAAGAAAATTTGTGGGGCCGGGCGCAGTGGCTCAAGCCTGTAATCCCAGCACTTTGGGAGGCCGAGGCGGGTGGATCACGAGGTCAGGAGATCGAGACCATCCGGGTTAACATGGTGAAACCCCGTCTCTACTAAAAATACAAAAAATCAGCTGGGCATGGTGGCGCGTGCCTGTAATCCCAGCTACTCAGGAGGCTGAGGCAGGAGAATTGCCTGAACCCGGGAGGCAGAGGTTGCGGTGAGCCGAGATCGCGCCATTGCACTCCAGCCTGGGTAACAAGAGCGAAACTCCGTCTCAGAAAAGAAAATTTGTGACATTCTAGAGTCAAAGTCTCTCTGTCACTTTATAGAGGGGAAGAAGAGAGAATGTGCCATACACCCTCTGTAACTCTAAGCTTCATAATTTTGTGATTCCTCTCTTATGGTGCAACTCAAACATGCATTGCTATGTCTAGCACTCACTGCATCTGCACATGGGAAACTGAGGTATGAGGGATTGATACTTATGAGATTCTCTATGAGCAAATGGTCCCTGATTCAGAGGTCCTCTGTATCTGTTAGTACAGATTAGACAGGTAGGTAGGTAGATTGATAAACAGAAAGATAAAATCTGTGCATGGGCAAGATAACTCCTTAACTCACAGGTAGGGTAACATCTCAGGGCGCTTCACAGTTTCAGACTTAACATTATTTTGCAATTTTATTCGCTACAATTTATAGAATTATTTTGTTTTTGTTTTTTTGAGATGGAGTCCCTCTCTCTTGCCCAGGCTGGAGTGCAGTGGTGCGATTTCAGCTCACTGCAACCTCTGCCTCCTGGGTTCAAGGGATTCTTCTGCCTCAGCCTCCCAAGTAGCTGGGACTATAGGCAGGCATGCACCACCATGCCCAGTTAATTTTTGTGATTTTGGTGTTTTAGCAGAGATGGGCTTTCGCCATATTGGCCAGGCTGGTCTCGAACTCTTGACCTCGTGATCAGCCCACCTTGGCCTCCAAAAATGCTGGAATTACAGGCATGAGTCACCATGCCCGGCTAATTTATAGAATTATGTAATACCTCAGAGGCAACAAAAATATCAGAGCCACCACAGACTCTGAATCAGATAACCTAGGAGATTGTGCTCTAATCTAGACAATGCATTGTTTTTTATTCATTCATTTATTCCCTTATTTCTTTAACAAATGTCTTCTGCATTTTGTATCAAGCCTTGTGCTATGTGCTGGAGATAGGATTGTTAGCATATCAGAAACTACTGTTGTTCTCATACAGCTTGCAGACTGGTGGGAAAGACCAATAAAATCAAGGACGAAGTATTGAAATACAAATTGTGAGGAAGTCTATGTCTTTTACCACTCTTATTTCTAAATAGGTATTTGTAGAAACTTAAGATCACTCAATCATGTCTGAAAGAACAGTAAAGAAACTCTGATTTGAGGCTTTTGATTTTCAGATGAGCTTTGGAACCTACCTTTTAAGGCATCTATCTCTGTTGCTCAAAATCTATTGTGACGATTTGATTGTCTTTTCTGCCCTGGAAATCTAGATGGACTGAAAAGTGTGGCATCTGTTTAACATCATACCTTGTAATGCTTTTTATTAGAGAATAAAATCACTTACAGGAACTATCATAATGTTGAAATATTTTAGAATTTTAAAAGGAAATGTTTATATGAGCTACTCTTTAATGGCTGCCATGCACTATGGCCTTGAATCTCTTGCAACACCTTTAAAAACCTTTAGAATCAGGTGTTAATTGTGACCCAGTGGATGCAAAACTGCAGGGAAGTCTCTCTCAGTGTGATCCAGAAGGGAAAGAGACAAAGACTTCAAGCAGGTATATTGTCCACCTCTCTTGGTAGCTACTCAGCCAGAGTTAAGCTTCTTCTTGCATACCATTGATTGACCACAAGAAAAGGTGAATAGTTTTTTTGAACAATAGAAACAGAGTCCAACAGAGGCTAGGCCGTCAGATTTGTCTAGTTAATAATAGCCTTAAACTTCTAATAGCCAAGGTTGAGCTGGCTCAAATTATAGAATTTCAGACCTTATTCTGCCAATTTAATTTCCAAATTTGAAAAGGAGGCTCAGATCTTTTCTACCTGACTTTCCTAAGGGTACAAGATTCATGCCAGATCTGTACCTCAGATCTCTTGATGATTTAGACGTTGTACTTCTGGCCACCCGTAATTTCTTCGGGTCGTAGATTAAGTTCTCTTTGAGAATGTTCTACTGATAACGGGTGAACTGAAATGCAAGTGGGAAATACAAAAATAACAGCTGTCGTTTTGTGGTACTGGCCTGAGCATAGACAGTCAACACCAAGACAAAAGTATGCCAAATTGCAGAGTCTTGATTGCCGGCAGCCACGGAGGACTCGCGTCTTTCTAACCTGTGGCCCCAAAGGAAGGTGTCAAGACTTTTTATAACCATAAAACCACCTCGGGAGTGAGGGTGAGGGGCAGGGGTGTGGTGAGGGCTAGTGGATTCTGTAAATCACCTCCTGGGCGGAGATGAGGGTGAGAGGCTCCGGACACTCCGGGGAGCCAGGGGACTTTTGACATTCTAATTGTTACTTAAGTGGTTCACAAAAGTCAAGATTGGCATTTGTTTACACATTGTCTGGGTAGGGTGGAAATCACAGTCCTTAATTACTTATTACAAGTCACAGGGGCCAAGATGGCGTGGTTTTGGACTGCTTGCCTGTCACATTTAAGTTACAGAGCAGTTTCAATAGAAAGCCGAGGTATGGTTGAGGTGTGCAGTTTTATGGGGCTTTTACCATGTCACATTTTCACAGAAAAATAATAATCCACACATGGAAGGCAGTAAGGCTGTGAAGTTAGTCCTGCCTCATTTAGCCTGCCTCTCTAGTCCAAACTCTGATGACTGGGAAAGGATTGGCAATGAAATTTTCAAAGTATACCTCCTTATTTTGATTGTTGATCCATGTGAATATCTTAGCTAAAAAGATGGAGTTGGGGGGCAGTTTTTCCTACTGTTACTACTTTTCTCCAATCTGGGATATTCCGCTGTAATATAGAAGAGTTGTGGGACTTAACAGCACATATATAGTGGAGTTTTGACAACTTTCAATCTTTTTTTTTGCCTACTAAATCAGAGGCTTTTTGATTCATCTGTTCTTTGCATATATCACAGAAAATAGAGTATAAAGTCTATTTCTGGTAAAGTTGAAGGGCAGATATCATATGCCTATCATCTGTTATAAACATTGTGGGGTTTGATTTCATCTAAGAAATTTTGGTTATCAGTATGATGGAAATGTTTATGGACATTCAGGTACCAATACTGATAACTTGGGTAGATACTCCAAGATATTTGACTTTTGTGTTAGTTGAGATGCTGTGTCAGATGTGTTCAGTTTAAAAAAATTACTTCCTGTTGTACTGCCTAACTGTGCAGATCACATGATATCAAAATGACTATTTCAAATTCAATTTTAAAAAGATGCACACTGATAATTAAATGTTGACTAAAGACAGATATGTAGAGAGCTATGAAATTTTGACTTTATTTTTGCTGATACCACGAATAGTTGTTAAGAGTAGAACAGTCACTGCTTATTTTATATAATAGAAAATATTTCATGAATTCTAATATGCACATTTTTTTCATATTGTGACATCACTGGATTTTGAGTATGTCAATAATGAATAGTATTTTGTAGTTAGGCAGCATTTTTTCCTTTCTTGCAGTGAAATAAAATAATGATGCATCTTTAAAAAGATAGAATATCAGATTCAGTGAAATAAAATACATCACAAAAAGTAATCAGATTTCCAAATATTTTTCATCATAAATATTGTGTGGCTAAATTATATGAGAAAGCTAAATAAAATCACTGTAAATGCATGGCAATTGTATATATTTCAGGAAAAATAATCACTTTCCATAGTTTAAAAATTCTGAGAATCCATTTGCGTTGATTCTACCGCTCAGAGAGATTTGATGACTAGAAAAATTTGACTCAGATAAAAGGTGATTTTGATCTTCTTTATTTATTTTAACTTTTGCAGACTAGTGATGGTCTCCTCTCTTTCTCCCCCCATTTCTGCATACAAGAAACCGCATGGACCATCATACAGCACAACGGCTCTGACTTAACAAGAGTCAGAAACACTCATCCAGAGAACCCGTATGCTGGGTTTTTCGAGTATGTGGCCAGCATGGAGCAACTCCAGGCCACTATTAACCGTGCGGAACACTGTGAACAGGAGCTTACTTACTACTGCAAGAAGTCACGGCTCGTCAATAAGCAAGGTAAGTAAACCATGGTGTCTGTCTGGCTGCACACCCATCACATCATACACGCACTCAACTAGCTCCTGAGGATTTTAATTCTGCAAAGTGGTGGCATATAGCTACTGAGGGTATAGGATCTTGCATACTTAGTAAACGTGTCACAGTCTGGAAGTCACAAAGATGCTTTTGCCTGAAGAAAAGAACAAGGTCAATTTACACTAAGCTTTATTCAAAGCCTTGATTGCTTTTAAACTCTGTTCCTGTTCTTAATTGGATAACTATACAGCAAATGCCTCCTTCTGATACACAGTGAATGCACGGTGTTTATCCCTGATAAAGGGCAAGTGACATCTAAGGTTTGTTTTATCATGGAAAACAGCTAATAAAAATAGGGCTTAGTTTTTTGGAAGTGAGTATTCTATGTACCTCTTTTTCATGGATTGTTGACGGCCTCTGGGTATAATTGAAAATTAGAAAAGACTGCCAGAAACACAGTTGATTCACTAGTTCAAGGAGGAATCAGAAAAACACCTTAACTCTTTATTGATTCTGCTATGAATAACCAGTCTGCTCCTGAGTTCTGGTTTTGGTTTCATGCTTTCTTTCTTTAGAGCATCTCACTATGTCAGAGCCTCTGTTCCTACCACATCTGCCTTAGAGTAGGCCTTAACGAGCTAATTCTTGAAGTTACAGCAAGAGCTTCCCACCTTGCCTCTCAGCTTGCCATCTCTTCCTCTCTTATAACCATCCAATGCAAAATCCAAAATATTACTCTGTGAAGTAACTTAACCTTTAAGAATGCTGCTCCCATTTTTAAGAAACACAGTTCTATTGAAGAAACTCTGCTGCCTTTCTGTTTTTTGTCTGTCCTTCATAGCCTCTTCTGCTGGATCCGGGAATTGCAGATTCTGTGTCCACCCTGCTTATGCAACCTTGATCCCACATGTTAGAGAACATTTTAAGACATCTGTACAATAAAGCCACTTCTTTCATGTTCGCTCCTGTTGTCCTAAGACGGGTTGGAGTTCCAGATAGAATGACAAGAATTTAAGGAGAAATTTGTTTCATATAGGAATAGTGTATGTCATAGAGATCATGCAAAAATGCTGAATTGTTGTTCTGACATTTGAACCCTGCTTTTCTGATGAAGCCTCTCTTTACTCTCCACCCACTACAAATCAGACCATTTTCTCCCCTGTGACTGAATTCCCCCTTGCCGTTCTTCTCCTTTTGGCTTCTCCTCCTTTTCCTTTTTCAGAATGTTCTCATTTGGCCTCTACCCCTCTAATCCCATCTTGCTGGTACCCACCCCAAAACTTATCTCCTCCTGAAACCTCGATTCTGTGTGCAATCGAGGACCAGACAGTTGTAGTGTGAACAGCATAGGATTTACAGCTGGAGGTGTGGGTGTGTTTGTCATTGGTTAGGTGCGTCTAGAACTTAGATAGATGAAACTTTGATTCATGAAATGGATGAATGGTTAATGAATCTCAGTCTTTGTTTTCTTCTCTCTGAAATGGGGGCCAATGATACCAGCCTCATAGGGGTGCAGTGATGATTAGTTGGCATAGCACATACAAAGTGCATCAGGGGATTCCCTCATTTCTGGCTCTCCAGAGCGTTGTGGCCATAGCGAACATACACAGTTTAGTATGTAATGTGCTGTTCCTTGTTGCTGAATATTCATCTTAGAGTAAAAAAGCTGATAAGCAAATCTGGAAGAGTATTCTAAGAAGAATAAGAATGATAATTAAGGGCCGGGTGCGGTTGCTCACGCCTGTAATCCCAGCACTTTGGGAGGCTGAGGCCGGTGAATCACGAGGTCAAGAGATCGAGACCATCCTGGTCAATGTGGTGAAACCCCGTCTCTACTAAAAATACAAAAAATTAGCTGGGCATGGTGGCGCGTGCCTGTAATCCCAGCTACTCAGGAGGCTGAGGCAGGAAAATTGCCTGAACCCAGGAGGCGGAAGTTGCGGTGAGCCGAGATTGCGCCATTGCACTCCAGCCTGGGTAACGAAAGAAACTCCGTCTCAAAAGAATGATAATTATGGAGGGTAAATGAACGCTCTGGAACAAAAGGAATTCAGTCATTATGTGGAAAAGGAGGTCATACAGTATTTGTCTTTCAGTGTTTGGCTTATTACACTTAGTATAATGCCTTTCATGTTCATCTTTTTTGTCACAAATGGTAGGACTTCCTTCTATTTAAGGATGAATGATATCCCATTGTGTGTGTGTACATGTATATATATCACACTTTCTTTATCCAGTCATCAATAGACACTTAGGTTTTTTCATCTCTTGCTATTGTGAATAAAGCTGCAATGAACATGGGAGTGAAAACATCTCAAGATAGCGAAGGATATTATACTGAGTGAAAGAAGCCAGAAACAGAAAGAGAAATACTTTGTGATCCCACTTATATATAGAACCTAAAGGAGTTGAACTCGTAGAAACAGAGTAAAAGAGTGGTTTCTGGGGGAGGAGGTTGGTGTGGAGATGTTGGTCAAAGGGTATAAATTTGCAGTTGTGAGATGAATACATTGTGGAGATGTAGTATGCAGAATGATGACTATAGTTAACAACAATGTATTATTTTACACTTGAAATTTGCTAAGAGAGTAGATCTTAGTATTCTCACCATAAAAATATAAAGTGGCTGTATGAAGCGATGAATATGTTAATTAGTGTGACTGTAGTAATCATTTTACTGTATACATGAAAACATTGCTTTGCACACCTTAAATGTATACAATTTGTATTTGTCAATTTTACTGCAGAGCTGAAAAATAAAACATAAGAAAATATGAAAAGAAGGATGGTTATCAAAGTTGACAAAGAAGTCAAGCTGTAACAGAACTAGAAAGCAGAATACCTGAGGGACTGGTGAGCAAACACCACACAGAGTAAAGGGAGTTGATATGGTTTGGCTGTGTCCTTACCAAAATCCCACCTTGGATTGTAATAATCCTTACATGTCAAGAGCAGGGCCAGGTGGAGATAACTGAATCATGGAGTGGTTTCTGCCATATTGTTCTCATGGCAGTGAATAAGTCTTATGAGATCTTATTGTTTTATAAGTGGGAGTTCCCCTGCACAAGCTCTCTTGCTTGCCACCATGTAAGACGTGACTTTGCTCTTTCTTGCCTTCCACCATGATTGTGAAGCTTCCCAGGCATGTGGAATGATGAGTCCACCCAACCTCTTTTCTTTATAAATTACCCAGTTGAGTATGTCTTTATTAACTGCATGAAGATAGACTAATACAGGGGTTGACAGAATGTGAAGGAATCCCCATTTTTAAGGCCAGTTGTGCCTGTGCACTTAAAATGCTTGCTTGGTATTTCAGACTCAAGAACCAGTTTTAGAAAGTCAACTCCAGAAAGGTGTGGAACAGGGGATACTAATCTTGGCTAAATACACACATTTTTTTCTCAGGTTGGTGACCTCATGATTCATGTAGGATAGATTTGAGGTGGAGAGACATAAAAGAGAGGGAACAATTGGATTCTGAGGTCACGGTAAGAAATATAATGGGGAAGAACAGGAAGTTGTTTTCAGACAAGCTATATTTAGAGTTTCAGATCTTGGTGATTTAGTGTCAAGTGATAATGATGCCATATGTGAATGAATGAAGTGAAATGTGTATGAAAATATGTTTTCAGCTGCTGAGGATCTGTGACTCAGCACATAGGAGGGATGATTAATGGGAATGCTCAAGTCATTTAGGATTTTAATTATGGGAAGTGGAATGTCCTACCATATCCACAGGTATCTTTTACCTTTAATTTTTATTTCTCAGGATTTAAAAAATTCATTTCTATACTTATGTAAATTTCTTAGTACATTTTTTAAAAAAGTCTTAGATTGAACCAAAGTCTGACACCTTAAAAAACATTCAGTGATTTTTATTTTGTAGGGAAGACAAAAAATTTAGATGTGGTAATATAGTTCAGTATTTAAGAATAACAATTTATTTTTCTTTCTATTCTATGAAAACATAACGTTTTCAGCAGTATATTGAAATATATTTATTAATTGTTTCAAGTAATTTTCACCTTCTGGTGAAGGGCTAATCATGTAATTTAAAAAAGATGAAGATTCTTCTTATTAATGTATTTATGCATAACACAGCTTCTGATAACTCTTTGCTTTTCTGATGTGACCAGACTGGCTTGCATAATAATCCTGGGAGAGAGGCTGTCAGCATTAGCAAAGGGGTTATCTAATAGTAAGTTAAAATGAGCCTTGGCATTTGTAAGCAAGGGAGAAATTAGTAAAAAATCCCAGATGCTCAGTAGGGCTAATGGTGACAACTTAAAGGTTTGAAAGTCTACAGAAAAATGATCAAGCACCTTTGAGAAGCTGACTGATTCGATGTTGCTTACATTCTTCTCATTCCCTGATTCTTGGATGACTACAGTTTATTCTCCATACTTGTTTTTTTCCATGATAGATTGGCTAAATGCTTCACTTCCTTTTCTGAAAATCCTTGCCTAGATGTTCTGTTTGTTCCTTGCTCTAGTTCCTTGGCATTATATTTAGTCTTAACTCTGAAAAGGAGCTGGTAGCTGAACATTTATCGTAGAAAGAGATGATTTGGCTGAGGGAAACTTCTTTTGAGTGTAATATTCACTTCCATCATGAAGATTTTTCAGTGTTATTTTTGCAGTCTTTAAATAAATACCAAAGCCATTAAATGTAAGATAAAATATATACTTCCAAATAATTCTTAAATCATGACAAGGGAGTGCCAAACCATGACTAATGTTTATTAAACAGCTAGGATAATTTTAGACAATAAATTTATTAAGACAAATCAGGGACATTCCATAACATTCCATAATGCTTTAATGGGCTTTTCATGATTTCAAATCAATTTTGCTTTGGTATGTTAATTACTATGATTTATATTTTGATGCTAACTTGTTTCAAAATTACTTTTAAAGACATTGTATATGAGAGCTGCTCTCAATCCATTTTTTACTATCATGCCTAAGTTAAAGAGAAACTGCTGTTTTTTTTTCTGCTCAAGAACAAATGTCATTGAAGCCTAAATAATAACTTTTTTATTTAAAAAAAGTTGTCTTAAGGAAATGCCATCAATTATAGTGTTTTGTGTATCCTTAAATCAAATCATTCTTTCTCTCTTTGTCCTTTTATTCTTTTTGATGACTTTGGAAGAAAGGGAATTATACCGGGAGAAAAGGTGATGGGACATAAAGCATATGTCACATTTTTCACGTTTGTCTTTCAGATGGAACCCCTCTGAGCTGGTGGATAGGAAGGACCAATGAAACACAAACCTACTGGGGAGGTTCCTCGCCTGATCTTCAAAAATGTACTTGTGGATTAGAGGGAAACTGCATTGATTCTCAGTATTACTGCAATTGTGATGCTGACTGGAATGAATGGTGATTTCCATATGATTTCTTTATGCAAGAAAAAGTTTATTTAAAAAAAATAAATTTATCACTAAATGTATAGCTAGCCAGATACTGAACAAGTTAGTGCAATGAAGGGATTAGATAAAGGTATGTTTTGGTGAAGCTTGGTATACTCAATATAATTCTAAGTATTAAGTCAATGCCTTTTTGAGTTATTTTCTGTAATGGACCATAAGTTATGTACATTTAAATTTGATAATCCAATAGAGACACCTGTTACATGGGGAATTAATTATTATTCCATTTAAAACTATATATGAGTAGGTATTCTGTTATCTTGAGAGTATATTTACAGCCAAAGCACATTTCTTCAATAATCTACCTATAAAACCTTTAAAATTTGCTACAGTTATAATGCATTTCTTTTATGCTTTTAGAAAGACAAATCATACCACAAAGAACTAATGTTCTGTGGATTATATTTTGAAAAATGAAATCAGTAACATTTTAGGAATTTTAAAATCAAATTTAAAATATTCCTGTAAGTAGAAAAGAAGCTTATATATGTGTTCTTTATTTGAAAACATTAAAAAAGACATTGTTAGTATTTGAGACCAGAGTTGGCATGTATACTGGTCTTATTTGTTATTCGTAAAGTGAAAATATTTTAAATGTTTATATCTACATTTTAGCATAACGTATGTATATGTTACATTGCTAAGCAACTGAACCTGTACAGAAGACTTATTTTTAACAAATATTCACAGTCAATCTGGATGTTGATATGAATGATGTTGTTATTGATTACGGGGATAAATCTGCTGTTAATTGAGGTTGTAATTTGAATTAGATAATATTTATTTAGTTGGGAAACCTCAAGATTATGTTATATATATGTAGTTCTTTTGGAATAGCACTTTTAGTGTTACATGTTTGGTGTGAAGAATAGTGTCTCTGTTACTCAAAGTCTCATTTTTCAAAATTTCTACTCCCTTTGGAAAGCACCCTTTTCTTCTCAGTATCTTCACAAAAAATGCTATATAGTAATATTATATTTTAAAATTTAAATAGAAGGCTAGTAGTAATGCTTAACAACAGTAAAAATTTACCTAATCATCAATAACTCTCCAATGCTTCTATAACATATTGCTAATTAAAAATGACTTTAAAAAATAAGATTGTAAAACTTCTCATATGAAATTCTGCTAATGGTGAAGTAACTTGCATAGAACTAACCCTTCTCAGATAATTGTTGTAAATCCAGGAAAAAATGTTATCAAAACAACCACTTGAAATAAGCAGAGAGCAACCAGATGTAGGCAGAAACTGCCCATGTGTTTACAGCAAAAACTATGTCCCAGATCTGAGTGCTAGAATTGGAAACTAAGCAAAATTCACACAGCCTCTAACTAATGAATTGCCAGACCAAGCAGTGGCAATGTATTGTGATAAGATTGTGATTTAACTGCCTATGAAAACAAAAATGAAATCTTTAAAGAATAACAAAATCCAGAATCTTTAGAATATATCATGATATACCATATGTTATAACAATTACTGAATATTCAAAAAAGAGTACATTTTGATCTAAAGTCAAGAAATTAAGAGCAGTCATCATAAAGAAACCTTGGGGTACTGATATTTGAATTGTCAGGCAGAAATTTTACAGCAACTATTACGAAAATATTTGAAAACTTAAAGGCAAAAATAATCACAATGTGTAGGCAAAGGATATTTTAAAACAATAGGCGAGAACTATAAAATGGAACAAAAGGTAAATTTTAGAATAGAAAGAGTATCTGAAATAACAAATTGTAATAGAAATTCTTCAGGCTAAAGAGAAATAACATGAATGAAAACTCAGATCTTCAGGAAGAAATAAAAAGCACTGGAAATTGCAAATATGTTGGTAAATATAAAAACCAGTGCTTAAATTGTTTTCTTAATTAAAAATTAAATTTACTGTTTAATTTTATTATAACATTTATAACACATGCATTTAAAATATATTACAACAACCGAACAAAGAATAAGTATGTGTGTGGGGGGATGGAGCAGTGTTAAATGAATTATCCCTTAGCAAGCTTTGAACATTTTGGTTGTTAAAAAACATAATGTCTAAATAGGCTGTGATAAACTAAGAATTTATTTTCTAATCTGTAAAGCAAACATTAAAATACAGTCAACAAACGTAGCTAAAAAGTGAATAGAGAAAATAAAACGAAATACAAAAAGTATAGAAAACCAAGAGGAGGCAGCAAAGGAAAACAGAAGTACAAGAAATCACGTGGGAGAAACAGAAGAAATAGCAAAATGGTAGACCTCAAAAGCGGTATCCATCATTACACTAAATGTTAATGTATTAATCAATTTAGGTCAAAAGGTAGAAAATGGTCTATTGAATTAAAAAATCTCCCACTGTGTTCTATTTTTAACAGTATCCTATATTTTGTATTCTCTATTACATACTTTCTACAAGAGACATTAAAATGGCATTGTTTTGACCAGGCACAGTGGCTCATGCCTACAATTCCAGCACTTTAGGAGGCTGAGGCAGGCAGATCACTTGAGGCCAGGAGTTCAAGACCAGCCAGGCCAACATGGCAAAACCCTGACTTTTCCAAAAAATACAAAGATTAACTGGGTGCGGTGGTGCACATCTGTAATCTCAGCTACTTGGGAGGCTGAGGCACAAGAATTGGTTGAACCCAGGAGGAGGAGGTTGCAGTAAGCCAGAACGGTGCCACTGCACTCTAGCCCGGGAGACAGAGTGAGACCCTGTCTCAAAATAATAATAACAATAAATAACAAATTAAAGAAATTGTATGTCATTCTGTTTTTATGTGCTCAGATGAGTGATGGGATCCTTACTCTTTTGTGGGTGCAAATTTAGTTCAGAACATCTTGGTTTTGCAATGCGATAAGGACTATTAAAATGTCTTAAGAATTTTGTGGTTGGTATTGCCTTTTAGGACCAATGACACTGGATTGCTTTCTTATAAAGAACATCTTCCAGTAACTAAGATTGTCATCACAGACACAGGCCGACCGCATTCAGAAGCTGCTTATAAACTGGGGCCTCTACTCTGCAGAGGAGACAGTAAGTGGTTATGATGTGTTGTAAGCATATTTAAGAAAAGTACCATGACTTAAAGTACCATCACTTAAGCATTGTATTTCTGTCACATAATAATTAATCAGACTTCTATTGTGAACATTCATAAGTGAGGATTGAAATATTCTTTCAGTCAGTCAACAAGTAAGTATTTCTATGAAGTGCAAAGCTATGACGGCAAACTTTGTTAACATTCTAAGAAAAAGAACCACTGGGCATCTTGATTTGATTAGTTCATGAGTACATTCCAGCATTCCTAAATTTCTAATTGCTGTTATCCACATAGGAAAACCTCAATGCTATACACAGTTGTTAATAATTCATGTGGATTTCCTATTGTTAGGCCTGGGATGAAATTAGAGCGTCAATGGAATCACTTCAGTTTAACCAAATATATTTCAAATGTACGTTTCATTTTTATTTCAGTTTGTGTTTGTGTGTGTCTGCGTTCATTTACTTTAAACCAATGGAATGTGCTGTATGCAATGCATTAACACTTTAAAACCAGAATTTTAAAGTTCAAATATAGTTCCACTATATTGATGTTCTATATATGTTTATGTTCCACATATATATGTTTTCTTTGATCAGGGAATGAAATGAGCATATGTATTCATTTATAGATTGTTACCCTCTCTGAAAAGAGTTAGGTTACAGACTGGTGCATTAAATATGTATGCTTTTAGTATTTCCAGAACTTAAGATGGAAATGGATGAAATATTTGTTTACATTAATACCGTACCTTAAAATAAAATTTTATTCTAGGGGCACAACAGAAGAAGAGAGAATCTGACATTTCAGTGGATTTATGGAGATACAGAGCAGAAGTTGCTTAGTTAAAAAGCAAAGATGATACTGGCCTATAAAAATTATATATATATTGTAAATACTGTTCGCCATTATACTCACCATCTCTGATATGTATCATCTCCACTTTCTGTTCTACCAGTGAGCCTTACACAATCCCCATGAAGATGGCATGGGATATTTCATGGAAAGAAAAATTATGTGCAAAGAGATGAGATTGTAAACTTCAGATGCATCCAGGAGACTGTAACGATTTTTCATGGCTGTAGAGGAGTTGTTCTCTACATCACATGTACCTTTCACTGCTTGCTCTGATCTTAACCCTGCAGGGACCCAGGCTGGCTTCCTCTGCCTTCCTTATTCCATTAGCCAAAATCCCTGTGAATTAGTATGTTTAAAGTGAGGTCCCTACCAACTCTATCCCTTAGGCTTTGTTTCTTCTAGAATTTCTGTTATCATTTCAAGTACACAACATCATTTCACTTAGAGCCATGATTCTCCGTCTAAGGCACTGTTGCCCTGCACCGGACATTTGGCCATGTTTGGAGACATTTTTGGTTGTCGCATTGTGGAGAAGTGGAGTGCTACTGGCATGTAGTGGGAGAAGTCAGGGATGCTGCTAAATATCCTGCAATACATGAGACAGGCCTCCACAACAAAGAATTATCTGGCCCCAAATGTCAATAGTACTGAGGTTGAGAAACTAGAGCATTGAACTACTGTGACCATGGGAATACAGAAGAGAGTTGCTACATCAGCACTAAGAATTTACAAATAACGTCAAGTATTTAGAGACCTGCTAATTAATCTCTGACTTATTAATTAAACAGTAATCAAGTAATTGACCTTCTTGCTCCCTATATCTATTTTCAGGGTGGAGGTTCATCTTCACCTGAGGTTATTTTCTGCGTGAAGGATTAAGTCCTATTTTCTGCATGAAGTGTTCTTTATTTTCTGTTAGATGAGCAATAGCTTCAGTGAATACTCCTTTTTTCTATATGGGAAATCTGTACCACTTAAGTTACAATGCCCAAGGTACTTTTTTTTTTTTCATTTCCAAATGTGGCTCACTGGGCAGATATGGGACTAATAGATATAGGATCATGCACAGTAGGCCTTGTAAGCAGAGAAAAGCTTCATGGACATTGCTTTGAAGGCATCAGGACTGCACATTGAGTAATTTAAGACTGAGAAATAACCTAATTCTCATGATTCAGTTGAAAACCTGACAATCAGTTATAAACCTGAAGATCAGTGACGTGACCTTTGATGTACGACAAGGGAAGGATGAAGGCTTGAACCAGGCAGTAATTGGCACGGAGCTTTAAAAGAGGGATCAACTACGAGGTGAATTCAATATGACTCAGATGTAAGGTTGAGAGTTAAAGCCTTGGGGATGATCTCCAGCTTTCTTATTTATGATCTCCAGCTTTGTGATTTGAATAAAGCCATTAGTGTCATTCATTGAGACAGGAGATTAACACGTTTTTTTTCCACAGGAAAGTAAAAAAGTGAGAATGCAAAAAGTAACATTTTCATTTTATCACATAAGCTAGTGATACTGAAAAATTAAGATCTAGCCATGTTTTTGTAGAAAAGAAGGTGAAGTTTTGAGAAAGCAGGACAAATAAAACCCTAATATTAGACCTACTAGTACCAGTTATGACGTTACCCCTAATTTATTGATGTCTTTTTCAAAGCTTTCTTTTCATTTTGTTTTTAATATGGGTGAGCCTGCAATTTCATTTTACTGCTGTTATTATTGTTGATATCAGAAATCAAGTAACAAACTTGGAAATAAGAGAACTTCCTCAATGGTATAAGGGACGTTTGTGAAAATCTGATAGCTAATGTCATACTTTGAATAACCAAAGATTATAAATATTTTCCCTTTAAGTTTAGGATAAAGGCAAGAATGTCTGCTCTCACTCCAATTCAATCTATTACTGATGGTCGTGGCACATTTAATCAGTCAAGGAAAGGAATTCAAAGCATTTATTAAGTTGCTGCAATAGTAATCAACCCGATTTTAATGGCAAATCAGGTTGCTGTTAAAAGAAGTGGCAAAACCACAATTACTTTTGCACCAACCTTAGATTAGAATGGATCAAATAAAATGTCTATTTACAGGTGACATGACTTTATGGTTTTTAAAAGTGAGTTTAGCAAAGTGATGGGATTTGAGGTCAATATACAAAATTAAAGTATATTTCTTTATGCTAACAATAAAAATTATAAATGAGATTCTAAAAGTACTGTTTTTATATTGCCACCAACAGCTTAAAATATTTTGGTGTAAATGTAACAGATTATCAAGAAAAAATTAAGGAAATTATATTTAAACATTTGCAAATTAAAAGATTTGATTAGATGTCAATTTTTCCCAAATTTATATATAGACTGAAAACAATCCCAATTAAAATCCAGCAATCTTTTTTGGGGGGTGTAGACATTGGAAAGTTTATTTTAAAATGTATGTGGAAATGCAAATAATAACGAACTGCAACAATGTTTCAAAAAATATAAACAAAGTTTGAGACTTACTGTAAAACTAACAGATTATAAGACTTACTGTAAAACTAACAGATATTCAAGGAAGTATGATATTGGCATTACAATAGACAAATACATGAATGGAATCGAATAGAGAGCCCAGAAATAGACCCATATACAGATGGTTGCTTGACTGTTGACAAAGCTGCCAAAGGAACTCAATGATGAACGAATAGAATTTTTCAAGAAACAGGATGGAACAATTCTAATCAATTTGAAAAAGAAAAGAAGAGGAAAAAAAGAGTATCAACTCTTATTTCAAAGCAGATACAAAGTTAACTCAAAAATAATCATAAACTTAAACCTTCTTCACAGAACTGAAAAAACCACTTCAAACTTCATATGGAACCAAAAGTGAGCCTGCATAGCCAAAGCAATCCTAAGCAAAAAGAATAAAGCTGGAGGCATCACACTGCCTGACTTCAAACTATACTACAAGGCTATAGTAATCAAAACAGCATGGTACTGGTATCAAAACGGAGATATAGACCAATGGAACAGAACAGAGGCCTTGGAAGTAACACCACACATCTACAACCATCTGATCTTTGATAAGCCTAACAAAAACAAGCAATAGGGAAAGGATTTCCTGTTTAATAAATGGTGTTGGGAAAACTGAACAAAGAAAATGTGGCATATATACACCATGGAATACTATGCAGCCATAAAAAATGATGAGTTCGTGTCCTTTATAGGGACATGGATGAATTTGGAAACTATCATTCTTAGCAAACTGACAGAATAACAGAAAACCAAACACTGTATGTTCTCACTCATAGGTAAGCGTTGAACAATAAGAATACATGGGTACAGGGAGGGGAACATCATACTCTGGGGTCTGTTGGAGGGTGGGGGTCTAGGGGAGGGACAACAGGGGGTGGGGAGGGATAACACTGGGAGAAATGCCTGATGTAGGTGATGGGGGGATGGAGGCAGCAAACCACCATGGCATGTGTGTACCTATGCAACAATCCTGCAAGATCTGCACGTGTACCCCAGAACTTAAAGTACAAAACCTGAGAACTGATAATTGGTTTTAGCAATGTGGATGTTATAGCAACCTTGGCAATCGTTTGTTTTGTTAAGTTAAAAGCCTCAGATAGATTCAGGAAATAGTGGGAGGAGAAAAATATGGGAAAATATTATGCTAAATGGAGGAGAAAGTAGGATCGCCAGAGTGGGGTTTCTGAGGTGAGCGAATTAATAGCATGTGTGTGTTAGTAAGAGCGATCCAGTAGATAAATCTGTGGATTGCAGACAGTTAATTCATTCTAACAGGAGGGAGTGCAGAACACAGGTGATGTAATAGGAAGGTGAACAGCTGTGGTGGTGGGTGCTTAGAGAAGTTCACTCTGTCTTCTGCTCTTTTCTTAGAGATTCCTAGAAAAGTTAAAGAATGAGAAATGAGACACATGTTTGGGAAGAAGAAGTGTGAAATAATCCACTAAGAGCATGGGACAGTGAGGGCATTAAGGAAATATAATGTGATTGCAGAGGAGCATTTAGTATGTCTATTTGGCATCATGTTATGGCTCATGTGTACTTACCTATAGTGTTCTTTAAAACCCGATGTTTATACACAATCAACATAAGGATTTGTAATTAAGTCCTGTATGCAGGAATC